ATTGCTATTTATTTCTCAATAAAATTATGGAAAAAATATAATTACACAAAATATTCTATGCACTATAACAAAAACTTTCCACTAAGGAAAATTAAAAATTGTCCATAAGGGAACAAAAGCTAGAGAGCTAGAAATGTATAGATAAATATCAAATGTGATATTCTATAAGTCGTGAAAATTTTGATATGCTTTTCTACTTTTCAGTATTTCTGAAGTTTCTACACTGAGGCAATTTCTGTAAAAATCTTATTTGGAAACTTTTCTACATTATAAACTATAAAATAATAAACTGGTAGAGTTGTTACTATGAATTGACAGATAGACTTAGAAAAATATCTAAACACTGTCACATGTAAACTAAACAACTGTCCTGCCTTTTGAAATATCCTTCACAAAGCAAATAGTTAAAATTGTGGATATCGTTAGTGCAGTTATTATAGTTAGTTTTATGATATTATTTATAAAAGGAAAAATTTAAACAACTCAAGCTTTCCCTTCTAAAAGCCTCTGACTACAGTTTTTCCTGCCAGTTGCCTTTGTATTTGCTGTGCTGTGATGTAGTTTCTAATACATTTTCCTCAAGTGGCCTATATATAAACCAATTTAATAATTCCCTCATGTTAAACAATAGCAAAAATTGCTGTACAGTGCTTATTTTTCTTTTTATTTCAGTTATACAAACTACTCCTTGAATCCCTTAACATGCATTAGCCCAGATAAATAGCCTTTCCAAAGTATTTTGCATTTAAATTAGCTGGTTTTGGATACAATATTGTAGTAGTTACTTTAGTTTAATTCTGTTATACTGACATTTTTAGCATTATTTTAATTGTACTACCATAAAATAATTTTTCAGTCATATAAAAAAGATTAAGATTGGTAATAAAGATTATACATATTACTAACTATATTGCTATGAGCTTTGAAGTTGTAAAATAACATTTCATTAAAATGCCAATGGCAATTTTTTAAAGGTAGCTATTTATATTACCCAACAGTTTCAAGTTAATACCTTTTAATCTGTGTATATTTACAAAATCTATGTCATAAGGAACATTTTCAGTTTTATAAATCTAAATAATTTTGCACACTATGTAACTGAATACTCAAGAAAGTTGTATTCTAAAGGAAGGAAAGTACTTCTTGTCTTAATAAAAGCTTATTGAATCAGAACTTACAATACTTATTAAGTATGTTTTTTTTTAATTTTCATTCATTGATTTTCAAGCATTTTGGGAGCATATAGTCTTCTGTTTATTCCAAAGGACAAGATTGATTGGAGATGTGATCCGAGACTCCTAGGAGTGTACAGTCTACCAGTCAGCATAATAGCAACTATAGTAGCAACAGCAGTAATAAGAATAAGCAACAGGTACTAGGCACTCTGCTAATCAATGCACGTATATTACTTAGCTTATTCTTGCTGTAAACTTTAGATAGATATGACCAGACCCTACTGCACTACACAGACAAAGAAACTGAGGTTCAGAAAAGCTAAATGGCAAGCCCATCAACATTCAGCTACTGAGAGACAGAACTGGAGTCCACAGCCCACCGTTCGAAGCATTCCAATATTTATTTCTATGTGTACAAAACATCCTAGAAGAGAAACACAGACTTAAATTTCACATGGTTTCTGATATGAAACACTCAAAATATAAGCAAAGCAAAACCAACTAAGGATGGATAATAAGATGTGGGAACACAGATATTTCTCACATGGGAAGGGGACTATGAGATAAAGGAAGAGGGCTGCTGGCCAGATACCTCAGCAGATTAAAGTACCTGCTCAGGCAGATGCAGGGGCTGGAGTTCCATCCCCAGTATGCTGTGCCGGCCCCACCCTTGGGGTACAATGAGACGGGACTGAGACTGGGTGTGTGACACACACCTGTAATCCCAGCATTGGGAGGCTGAAAACAGGAGGATCACGAGTCCAATCTATGTAGCGTGACCCTGTAGACCCTGTCCTAAATACATAAAAAAAAGATGAAGGAAGAGAGGGATCAGAGGTGAAGGAACTAAAGAAAAAGAACTGAGATGTGCTATGTAAATGTGCCAACATCCTGTAAGGAATGTAATCACCATGTATTGAAAATATGTACTAAAGTTACATTTAACAAAGTAAAAAATAATCTGATGTTGCAAGAAAATCTCAACTGAAAGGATCAAAATGGAGACAAAAAGTGAGAAAAATAGCTGTAAACCTTAGTTTTACCAAAAAATAACACATGGTATTCTTTCGTCCTTAAAGAAACACTACCATCTTCTCTTCAGGTAACTCTATGTAGAGACTGAATAAAATACGAGCTGAGACCAACTCTAATTTTACCTAAAATATTGGCTATTTCTAGGAAAATACAATCTTACAGGCAAAAGGTAGGACTCTCTAGTACCAGGTTTACACAGTATCTGTATTTTTTGCAATAGCTGCATATTAAGCAGAAGAGTGGAACAGCTTCACAGAGCAGAGGAAGACTCCGTGAAATATGACTGCAGCACTACTCAGAAGATCTGATTTTTCCAACCAAAGACTGACTTGAGAACAAGGAAACCACTCAGGGCGAAACACCAATCACACCACATGCAGCCGATTTTAAAACAGGTTAAATTGCCTGAGTCATAAAAACATAAAAATATCTGTTGGGTTTCCTTCTCCTGAATGTCCCAAGACTTTGTGGAATGAGGTAAATCGAATTATAGGTTTCTATTGTATGTTTATTTGCTTATCACAAAACTAATTTGTTGAAAGGCAGAAGTATGGGCGCCAAGCAGTGAACAAAAGGTATAAGAATGTCGGGGATTAAAGCGCCTGCTTATGCACGCCTAGCGTCCGGGTTCGACCCCCAGGCCCGCCATGCGGGCCTGGTCCCCCAGCGCTGGCTGAGACAGAGATTGAGACTCGCTGTGGTGGTGCGAGCCTGTAATCTCAGCTCTTTGGGAGGCTGAATACCGGTGGAACACTGTGAATCTGACCTACACAGTGGGGTCCTGTAGACCTTTACTAAAATATATATTAAAAAAAAATGTAAGAAAGAAAAAAAAAAGGTATAAGAAGGACAGCAACAGTATTTACTCTCCAATGGCTTTAATCTGGTAACAGTCTGGACAAAGAGGGAAAAAGGGAGTTCCCGGAGAGTAAGGATGCTCTTTATCCTGCCGTGGGCTCCACCGCGACGCTTCCTGTGCCTAGCCCCGAGAGTGGCGCACAGCAGACTCTTAAAAAAACATGCGCACATGTATGTTAATGAATGAAAAAATGGGTCACTAGAGTGCACCGTATGAATATTCCGGTGACCGTGGAGAGCTCCGGAAATTCACAAGAAGGGCAGATTCAGGCCCAGAATGCCCGAGCAGCTGTAGACCTTGGTTTGTCTCCTCAGACTGACAAAGAGTTGAAGACAATCGAAAGGAAGAAACACTCGGTGCTGTGGCGCGGTGTAGCCAGGCTTTCCCCCAAAGCCTCCCGCAGCCGTAGGTGGGGCTTTCCGGAGGGGTCTGCATCGGGAGGATGAGCCGCTGGGGTCAAGGGTGCGTGGCCCACCGACTGGCTTGGCGTGTTCTGGGC